GTGTGGGTTTTGCTTGTTCATGAAAGGAGGTGGTTGCAAAGACACGTTCACGGCTTGGGAAGATTGCGTTGAGGAAGCTGAGAAGAACAAGGAAGATATCGTCACTAAGTGTATGGAAGTCACTTCGGCGTTGAAGAAGTGTATGGATGCTAACTCTGACTACTACCAGCCGATTCTCGCGGCGGAGAAAGCTGCTGAAGAAGAGGTGAAGAAGGAGCTTGAAGCCCAGAAGATCGCTGAAGAGGAGGTGGCTGCGAAGAAGCAAGCTCAGGGATGATGATTGAGAGAGTTTAGGTAATTTTTATGGTTTCTTGTTTACTGGAATATCAGAATATTGGATTTGGGGATAAAAATTGTTCGTTAGGAACAGAGAAAATTTCCGAGTTTCTTCCCTAATTAATATGCATTTTGTGTGCAAATAAGTCGACTTGATTTTGTGATCAATTTTTTGGCTGTGAACGTTTCCATATGATTCGAGAGATAATCTTCCCTAAAAGGTAATGACTTTGATGATGCCCATGAATAATTCAGTCAAGAAATCTTCCATATGATTCTTGATTTGAATGTTATTTTTAGCTTCTGAATCAATGAAAAGGTCGGACCTTTTTCTAGTGATTGCTTTTTGATTCCAGCATTTTCTAGTGTGTTTGAAGATTAAGTTGAAAAGTTTTTTACTTGTTTGTTGTTTCACTTTGTGATTAAGATACACTAGAGTTTGTTTTCGCACTTCAGTTCCATATCGAGGAGATAATGCATGGGTTGAAGTCTCCTCGAATGAACTCGAAGATGAAAACCTTTGCAACTCCCATATTTGCCTGGTATATGTCGTGTTTCTCATTTGTAGGGAGAGATGGAACATTACACAGCTTCAATCAGCCTCCATAGATGACCATATGATTCTTTTCTTACCTTGTATATCAATTTTGCTTTTGACAATCATGTTGAAGGAGAGCTTAGTTGTTAGCCGCCAAGAATGACTTGACTTTTATCGTCGTCTTTGATCATTTATTGGGTTTGATCAGAAGTATATTTCTTTTGAATGACAATTCAAAGGCTGGCATTGTCTCTGCATAATTTTCTGCTTAGACGAATGTCAAATTTTGTCTTGTTACTATGTTTTTGAAAAGATATGATTGGTGTGACAGAGTCTTCTTCAACACATTTTTATTAATTATTCTTGTTCAACGTGTGTTTGGTTGCGAACTAGGGTCAGAGTCGACTCGAATTAGAGTACCAAAGGAGAAGTTGAATAGAAAGAATCATATAAAACTGAAATGAAGTGTTTGAAGAATACCACTATGTTCTTTACACGATTTACCACTAGATGCATCCCTATATTTCTCATTTGACGACAAAAAGAAAGAAATTGTAAACAGTTTGATGGACTTTGGTAGCAAAAGGGGATTTACTGTCTTCTGAAACTACTAATCGTCTTTGTCGTCATCCTCGTCGTAGTTAAATGGAAGTGGAACGGACTTGAAAGCTCGGTATTTCCCAACATTGTTCAAATGCTCGTTCTCTAATCTGTTTTCATGAACCAAACAAAAACAGAGTTATTACTCGAACATAATGCATGCAACAAAGCTTGTGGAATCGGTAATATGAGGTTTGAACAAAAATTCACCTGAAGAAATTCCAGATTCCACGACGGATGATCTCAAGACTAGCGACAAGGGTAACCATCGTTTGTCTATGCATGAAGGAGAAGTTGAAATCCAGAACCGTCTGGATCCACGCGAATCTCAGCAAGACATTCAAAATCTGATACATTGTTCTAAATATCAGTTGCTGTGAAACATCTTTTTGATGGAAAATGTTATTGAGACTCACCATTGCAATGAAGTAAACTTTCTTTTGAGGAATAAGGAGTTTATCTCGAAGCCAGCGGTTTTTGGATGTCCGCTTTAGAAGACCCCAATCATGGACAAAGTCCCACCAAGTACAGTATACTGCAGCTATAGCTGAGAAGACAGCGGCTAAAACCCTCCAAGCGACTTGACCTTTCTGAATACTGTAAGCCGTTCTCAAGCAAACCGCCACTATAGTCAAGAAGTACTTGAGTCCGTTGTACCCTTGCTCCGGGTTTTTCTCCTCAAATAGCCGTCGTAGGCACTGCATTGAGTACAAAATTTAGTTATTGAATGCTAGATGTTGTATTTTTCTTTTGGAGGGAAGAAATTTTATACCTGAAGGAGGCGAGAGACGTAAGGGATGACAGCAACAATGAAGAAGAAAGTGTTGTACACACTAGATTTATTACAAGTGTTCTTTCTGTGTCTGAAGTCTCCCCAACCATAGTAACAGATGTAGAACTCGATGCTTCTAAGGGCTTGAACCTGGCTAGTTAATTGATCTCCCAAGAAGAAATCAGGTAATGTTACCTGCAGGAGAAAGGCGACAATGGACGATTATTGGAATATAAGACTTTACAACATTCCCTTTGGTCGATGAGCTTATTCAATCTCTGGTTTACCTTGTATAGAGGAGCGGCGAGGCAGTGAAACAGACAAGTGAGGAAGAAAAAGCGACTCGAGCGGTAAAAGAAGTTGAATGGCAGGACTAGAACCAAGAACAAAACCTGCAAAAGTGGAAAACAAACATTACAAAGTTATTATGGCATTGTTTTAATAGCTGATTGGGTTCAAAAACTTCAATTTCCAGGTTTTGGAAACTTACAAGAAGTAGGATAAGAGGAAGAAGTTCGGTTATTGCTTTATAGTCTTTCGTTTTGGGATTGGCCTGCATGTCAAGATTGGCAAGAACACAAAGCAATGCAAAGACTCCGATGCTGAAACCCACAAGCAGGACTTGTCTGTAACCAAGTTCAGTTCCTTGCTTGAACCCAAATATGAAGGAATAGTTTACTCCGTATCGCCTCCAATAGTATATATTAGCAGCATACATTATTATGTGCAGCACGATAAAACCGAACAAGCTGCAAGAAACAGCAAAGAAGACAGCATCTAAGCAACACATACCAACTCGAATGTCCGATATAAATTCTTAAGAAGAAAGGTCAAATTACTAAGTTCTTACCTATAAAGAGGGAACATAGTTATCATGTATTGCTTCTGGCCTTCCTCCTGCAAGATATTTCGGGTGCGGATAATCGCGATAAGAGCCACTATAAGAGAGAAAACGCATCCAGCCGAGAAACCTGAATCCAATTTCCTCATAAGCACCACAAAGTCTGAAAGAGAAGAACCAAATTTAAACAAGTTTCTGATTTTACCTGTGGAGAATGTAATTCTGTGTCTCTCTCGTTTCGCTTTAGGCCGTAAAATGTTCATTCCTTTAGCTCGATTAGCATTTGCAAAATGCTTTATGAATGTAGCTTCAACGCGCTCCATTAGTCTCATAATCTGTCAAAGCAGAGGATCAAAAACAGAGGAATTAATGAGTTAACATTTTCCAATTAGATCCAAAAAAATAAGAAAAATCTCATAAGATCTCAGTCTAACCTCATCAGAGCTTCCAAAGTATGAACTATCAACAACTTTCATGTAAGGCTTCGTTGCATCCCTCGAAGTTACCTATAAATAGACATTTCGTCAACACATTTCAGTCATCTGAAACATATAAACCCTCAAAACCAAAATAGAAAAAAGCTCAAATCTTTACCTTATCATACTTCTTCAAAATCTTAGAGAAAGCCAATACATTCAAAAAACTGCATATTTACATAAACCCAAATCTCAGAAACCCAAAAAAAAAAAAAAATCCCAACTTCATGATCCGCATTAAACACTAAATACGAACCTGTAGCTCTTGAGAAGCCGAAGCTTCTGATAAAACTCGATAAAAGCACGCATCAGTCTCTCCTCGACTTTCCTCAGATTTTCTCTGCTGAATTTTAACTCAGTCTGATTTGATTGCTTAAGAACTCCTTTAATGGTGGAACGAGGAGTCTCTTTTGTGTTGTTGATCCTTACTCGATTAAGAACATCGATCGGAGCTGGTCTTCCTGCTCTCATCTTACTCGTATTCACTTCACCGACCGATCCTCTGGCTCCATTATCGTTTC